TACCTAACGCCCTGTAGAGAGATCAATTCTGCACATGAAATATATTTTCAAAATAACTATCAGGGGGTGATTAGTGATCGATACTGATGCAAAAATTGCAATCAGTAAAATTTGTCTGTCCGTCTGTATGTTCCTTATAGAAACAAAAACTACTCGACGGATTTTAAGTAAACTTGGCACAATTATTCTTCGAACTCCTGGGCAGGTTATAGTATACTTAGGAATTCCCACGGCAACGGGAATTAGCGGGAAAATCCTTTTGTATGAAAAATCTAAACTGCTTAAGCTAGACGCTTGAAATTTGGCATGCAGGTATCTTAGTAAACTTAAGGCTTAGTTACAACAGGATATTGCAAAATTCCCACGGGAACGACAATTAGCGGGAAAATCCTTTTGTATGAAAAATCTAAACCTCTTAAGTTAGACGCTTGAAAAGACAATGCCGGAAATTGGCGTCTATTTTTTTTCGCGCGGCCATCGACCAAACTTTGTTTTTTGATTACAAAATAGTGTAATAAACCAAACTTACTATGACATGTTATACCTCTAAACTCAGTCTGAACTGAGTTACGAGCATTAGAAGTTAGATGATTTTCATACTAGATTTGCTTTTTGCGCGCAGTTTTGTAAGTAATTGCAACAAAATAGTGAGATTGTATGTGTAAACAAACAATACCATCCATTAAAGACTCCAGACATCAGTATGGAGCAGAATCAGCGCAATAAAAAATCGCGCAATATTTTGTATGGTGTATGGTATATTATACGTATTTAGATGGTGAATTGGTGACCTTTACTGAGTCAGAAAGTGTATAGACAAATTCACTTTTTTTGCTATCCAGAACATCAACATGTTTTCATAGCAGTTCACACGAATTTATAATGAATGCTCTGATAATAATATCAATACTGAAAAAACATTCATTTTCAATCCATAATAGGCGCCATTGTTATCGGTTCAAATGATGTCATTCTATTTGATTGCACATCGCAGTTATTATTTTCGATTTTGTTAAGAAATATTATTTTATTTGGACATTTATCAATATTTCATAAAAAGGCTCTCCCCTCAACCGCCTATGCGTATTTTAACATTATGTGAATTTAATTAAACACATTTAGTCGAAAGTAGAAGAAGAGAGTCTGTCGACGCGAGAGAGTTTGTATTGAGAAATCCGCTTGAATGAATCATAATCAAGTGCATACAAATACATATTACTACTAATGAGTGGGTATGCGTAGAGACGCTTTAAGTTCAACGTGGTGAAAAAACTTGTAGCTTAGAAGTGAGCAAAGAATTTATTTTACACACTGGATGCGAAAATTCTAGAGATACCATTGGAATCATAGAAGTTGTCACTATTACACTACTCTTAATCAATAGGAATAGAAAACATTTTTGTATGATAAATTCATGGCCAATTTAAAGCAGCGTAGGCTGCACTCTCCCAAACGTAAGCTAGCTTGAATAATAGGTACTGACCCTGATATCAAGGATAGTGAAATTTCAAAATAATGCAATTCTCTTACTACAGTCATTTCATAAATCATTTAAGTAAGTATTAAAGCAAAAGTATTATTGCAAAAAAAAACAGGCGAGGTGTCAAATATTGCGCGACTATATCTTCTCAATAAACAATTACGATTGTTTTTGTAAAGGTTAACGAGAAGGGAGTTTTTTGCAGCCAGGCATTTACCATGTGACAACTCATACCACATGCCTAGGGCTTCTGACGTCATAGCGATTCCGAGTGCAAACATCCTCGAATGATCTCACCATAGTAATGGACAAAAAATTAAACTCCATAATTTGAGAAGTGGTTACTATTGTACAGTCCACGCCACATCAAACTAGGATTTCTTGTTGGAAAATAGCAGCTATTAGAGTAGGCGCACACCGTTGATTTTTCGTCGCCCGATAGTTTAGTCGGGCAGTTGATCAGTATGGGCATGTATGGGAGTGCGCACACTACGCCGATTCGATTTGGCCGATTCTTTATACAATTTAAAATCGGGCACAACTATCGGCCAACTAAAAATCAACGGTGTGCGCCTACTCTTTCCAATACATAAAATGTCACAATGTACCGTGGTTCATTAAACCAGGTCTAAAACTGAAAAAGACATCATGTAGTCATCTGCTGAAAGGCTGGTAGAGTCTGATACATATATTATTAAATAAATAATGTAAATTTTCAATGACAAAAAATAATTTTCCTTTTTTATTTCATTTCATTATCCTCTAATGAAGTCCCACCACCGTTAAAGACTAAAAACATGATAAGTAAGATACCTAAATAAAATATAACGAATCAATCGTGATTTAAATAATACTATGCGAATATAATAGCACATCTAGTAATTACCTTATTAGAATTGAATTTTAGACTTTCGTGCGTAATTCTTTAATGACTTCGTGTGAGGCATCATGTGATACGATAGAAATACGGCTCTCTGTACACTAGTGTGACTCGCACTTGTCCAGAATGGAAATTTTTGAACTGTCATAACCTTTAAAGATACACACATAAAACTGATAAAAAATTGAAGTGTTGCCTAAATGTAACACAGTATAAACGAGTTGGCAGGTATACCTGTAAAGATGGTTCACATGAGCTTTGGCTTTTAAAATTTTACGATACATTGTAATGAAACTGGAAATAATAAATTACCCGTGTTATTTTGGAAAGACTTGTACTCTCAACAGTACTTTATGAGTTTGGTCAATCAAGGTGAGCCGTTGCCGATCGTCGTCGGAACTAATAAGGCACTTTTATTTTACATTCTCCACGAATTGTCGGTGGCCTTGATATAAGGTCACGGGGTGAGGTCTCCCCTGCAGAATTATATCGATGAATTCCTACTCAATCGATGAATAGAAAGATACGATTTCAGTTCGAGATCTCAGTTGCTTTACTGGAGCTCAGCTTAGACTTCTTTTTCAGTCATCTCCTTTTCATATTAGAAGACTGCTAAAGTATAGGTACTTTGGTGAGGACATTGTAATTAACGATTGTATTGGGGAAAATCTTTAATTAATGTCTAGACAAAATTCTAGAACACGGGACAGTATGTGTAGTAGGAAAGTGAGAGCAGTTAAGATGCAGAGATGTATACAGCAAAGTAGAGTCAAAATTCACTTGTTTCCAGTGCATTAATACATTTAAAACATGGAAATACAATAACATCTACTGTAATTGCAGTCATTTAAAATTCAATGAGGTGAAAAAGCTAGGTCACAAACAGCCCACAAATTAGCTTCAATAAAGATTTTGGTGTCGAACTTTATAAAAAACTGAAATATTTTAGAAGTGGTTTCATTCTTCATGTGTTCTTAAAAAAATCTAACGTTCTTTCTGAGAACCATCATACGCCATATTTGGAATATATTCAGACCTCGAACAGCGCTCGCGTGATGCTACTTTTTTAAACATCTGCCTAATAAAAGTCTTAGAACAAACGAGAAACGATTAAAAAGAGTGCCATTAAAAATCCAATTAGTATTTAAAGATTTAATGAGCCTTAGGACGGAACATTTTACGGACGTTTAATTTTTACTGCTTTGCAGCAGGTGACTAAATGGCTGTACGTAGTAATACTATCCACTAATAATAAATGGTAAAATCTTAATTTCACCCATGGATGTGACTTTAAATATTTCAGGAATTATTATGTTTGGTAACAAAACAGCAGACTTCAAATAACCTGAGTGAAATAATATGATCCCCTCATTATGGGGGCACGTTAATTAAGGCATCTCTCTGATAGAGTCATGACAGAAGTCTTACAAAGTTCTGACCTTAGACTACATGATGAAAACTTACTTTCGAAAGTGCCACGTCAGATGTTGAATTTGTATTATTCTTCATCACACTTCACACAGTAGATTAACTTCAGAACGCTTTTTTGTCTGCTAAATTCTGGATTGTCTCTATCTACTTCCTTTTTAAATTAATTCTTAATAAAAAGTACGCATATGTCCTCACCTAAAGTTCAATCAATCTTTATCCAGAATTATTTCAGTACTTTACGCTAGAAAAGGTCAGACAGACAAATTGAAAGACGGAGTTAATTTCTCGTTTTTAATAGTAAATTGATGATGATACTCGTAGCTCTGTTTTGACACCTTATTTGGAGAACCAATAATCCAGCAAGTAGCTATGAAAGCCATGCTTATAATAGAAATCACTTAAGTACAGAAAATAATGTTTGCTATCAAAAGTGATTAAATAAAGTACTGCCATTTTGTTATGAAATTATGAATTATCAAGTTTCTATCGGCTTTCAACGTGACCCTTGTTGACTAAAGGAGATAGGTATCCGAATTTAAAATAATTTTATCGGTGTACTCCTAGAACTAGACTAGTTTCAAAGATCAAATTTTTATTGAGTCTGTCTTTCTTCGATAATTTGAATTTCACGCGGATGATGTCCCTGGTAAAACCTACTACTCGTACATTTACTAAATTAAAGTTCCACTACAAACCTCTTGAGTAAGTTGATAAAGAAGATGCGCAATATGTGTCCTAATCACAGCTTCCTAGAGCCAGACCAGGAAGCTCGATATTTCTGTAACCGCCTACATTGTTGCGAACCAATTGCACGTTTGGACCCGTGTGCTGCGTTCAATTTTATCCTCTTTTATGTTCTGTTTAAGGCATAAAAGAATTTATTGTTCAAACTAACGAGATAATCTAAGAATGACCAATGAACAAGCTACTTGAAAACTTTGTTAACTCTCACATATGATATACAGCAGATTGCGCTAGCTGATAAAAAAGTAGCGTCGTTATCAGGTAATGCAAACACGTGGTCATTTCTAATTGCAACTTTCAAACTCGTTATTTTCACTTCAATGTGTGATTCGCTGGCGATCCGCGTGGCCGGACCCTCAATAGATTCAATGAATACATCCAGACAGTGTTTGTTGCTAATCTTAGACGGGACAAAAAACGTTGGGTTGCGGCCCTTCTTTCACGGTCCCTCGTCGCTGGCGGCGCTTCCGAGCGAGCGCGGCTAGTTCGCCGCACGCCGCCATTCGGGGCGCCCGCGCTCACGCTACACGCGCGCACACATAAACTTGACTCCTCGCAACTTACATGCAAGTGCATTCGTAAACCACTCAAATTTCGTGAAATCACACAACAGTGCAACGTGTAAACGAAGTGCCTGCACCTTGGCCACGCAAATGCGGGTTCGGATCACTTGCAGCAGAAAAAATAAACATAACACTTCGGTTAGTTATTTGTATAATGTTATATTAAGTTGCTTTAGATTTCCTTGCAGTACGCATTGTTGACTTGATGCTGGATGGAGCTCAGGTTTGTAAATCTGTGACCGGTTATGCTAATAGCTTAATGACGTTTTTCGTACCATTTTTACCTTGCCGGTGTCTACCTAATTAATACTGGCGAAAGTGAAACCACTCCTTTAATGGCTTGTCCTTTTTTGTACAGCTTACTATTTAAAACCTGATAGGTCACCAAGGCGTTTTATGTTCATTGGATGAACAATATTTTTGCAATTCAAACATTTCTTTCATGAATGACGCTATTACTCCAAGATGTTTGTTTACTAAGAGCAAATTTGGTTCTATTTATGGATATCTAGTAAGCAATCTAAATTAAACCATTTCAGTTGAATTCATATCAGGTCAAAAAGAGCAAATAAAGATAAATGATGTAGAGTTACAAAAACATCGCTTTTTGTATACTCAAGACAATTAAAAATGTATAGGCAGTTGATAACCTCAACTGCTTGATTCAAATAAAACGACGGTTATCCTGATCCTTTTCAAACTTCAAAAGTTCTTTGAACCCAATGCAGTGTTCGCAGCGAAATTCCGGCACATTTGCATTTTATCAGGATCGCACGTGAGTGCAAGTTTTTACAATTCAGACGGCGTTCTAGATTGATTACACAAGTCTAGCAATCTGCCGCAGACATCTCAAGAAGCACCTCTAACGGGCGACCCAACACGTTTGCTCCACTAACTTTGCGAAATATTCCCAAGTCAGCAGATTTAATGGCGTAATTGCTTGGTGCACATAGATCCAATTATTTCCGTGAAAGACCGGCGATATTCATCGTAGATAGCAGTTTTAAATTTCATAGCTTTTTATCCTTTTTCTTGGCTTATTTACAGTTGATCCCTTTCTCTCTCCTCATTAAAGCATTAACGGCTCATTTGGTCAGTAAAGCGGAATGCATGTTCCAATCAGCAAAAAGTTGAGCTTCGTTTTCACCTAACCCATAACTCTGCGTTAAATTACTGTACTGACTCTTTCTCTTTTAAAGAGCTGCAAAAAGCTCAATTCCAATATAATTACTTCAGTGTAAATACGACAAGTTATTGCAATGGTCGTAAATGAGTATTACAATTACAATAATGGTCACCTCTTACTGCAGTGAATGGGACCATTTGCGAGTAATAAGCAGACACTGCTTTAAATAATGATAGTAAACAGACATTACCAGTTAGTAGAGTCGACACTCGACAGTATCCATGCAAAGTGTAGCAAAATATCAGGTTAGGTGGGTACGTCACGGTTGAATCACGCCCCTCTGTCGCTGTTCTGAATCAATAGACCGACACAAAGGTCCAGACCAGACGGACTTTAAACACGAGCTAAACTCTTATGAATTTGAATGAAGGGCGCCGAACCGTCCAACCGTTATGAAAATCTTTTCACAAATGCCTTTGAAAAAACTTGAATACCTATTGAGTTCAAATCATAAGAATAAAGACTCTAAATTAATAATTGTGTTGAGCTGATGCCACTAGTAGAATTTGAATTTCTAACTATTATTGATTCAATATTTAGCTCCATATGAGATCTCGCAAAGATAAACACCATCGAGACATTTTTGCCATTTGGCACATCTGTTAAACCCAAACGCATCCAATCTTGACGACTCTAACAATTACCCGTGTGGGCTGATAATCATATTGCTCTGGACAGCGAGCAGGACCAATTCACAGTCTTGACAGTTGTGACCAGTTGAACATGACCCTATGTACACCGAATTCAATAACAATTCCGAGGTAGAAAATTGGTTTGGAGGATCAATGTATACCGGTTCTCTCGCACCCCTACCGACTAGACGTCTAGATACGCTACTACGTATAAATATTTGTATACTAAACGATTATCAAACGTCAGTACACATATTCACCTTGCGTGACAGAGTCCGATTACAATACAAAAGCCTGTCGATATAAGAGGGTCAGTATTATTCGATAAATGGGAAAACTTTGAACAATTATTATAGTTATGATTTTATCTGCTATCAAACTATGTATAATGTTTCACAAGGGCTTCGAATACCAATAGGTTTATGACAAGGCATACCTTTACTAATATCACACGTATTCTACATCCTTCTACACGGTCGGTTTCCTTTTACGCAGACCATTAAATCCTATGAGGGCTTTAAATGACACGATTTATAAGCTATTGCTTACGTTCATTTAAATTATATTGGCATAATACACCACATCTCAAGTAGTAACTTTACATCTTTATATGTTTAGATGAAGAAATAAGGCAGGTATACTTCCACCTTGACAGCTGAATACCTAAGTAATAAAAATTATGCCCCGCAATAAACGCAGCGATTTATGAATGCACACAAAATCGAGTCGTGTGTTTGTCAGTTCTTTGATGAATAGGGGCAGGTAACAGAAGATTGTGATCTATTTATTTTATGACTTAATAAGTCATAATAAACCACCTTTTGGTTGAAATGAATCCTTCATTTGCTCCACTTTACTTTAGGGTTTTGCGAATCTGTTAAAATATTGAAATCATCACTTTGCAATATTTTTATGAGCATTATTGTAATATTTTTTATTAATACCTATAATGCAAGCATTATCTAAGCTCGTGTCGTGATATCACTGATTTTACACTTAAATACATATCACCTAAATCTTCAATGTCACCAGCACCATAATTTATCACCGATAACATCAACTTATATCTTACGATAACAAGATATAACTCTTTATAATTTGGCCTATTCTTATAAATAAGCGGAATTCATAAATAGCATTACGAATAATCTTATCTTACGAGTATATGCCGTATCAATGTATCAGTCGGAGTCCAATCGTATTTACTTTTCTCTTGAAGAATGGACATGATCCTCTGTACATAAACGTATTAGTATATGCTTGCCAGTTAGTATTAAATGTTGCCTGAAGTACGCAGTACAGTCAGCATCAAATATTTTATGACACCGAAAGTGGCCAAAACTTGACAAGTAACAAAGACGTGTTGCGACAAATGAAATCGAATCACTTATTCAGTAGGTAGGTACATACATAGGCCCTTTCTAGGGGAACATAATATTGACTGACTGGTGCTGAGAAGAAGTGGCAGAACGCTTTGGTTGGCTACTATGGATGTCACTAACTATTGGACGCTGACTGTGCCTGCTAGTATTTATTCTGTGCCTGGAGCCAGTTCGCAGTGTTTAGATAACTGCCACACTGCGTGTGCGCATTCCACGACACCAGCGAAATGGGGAATAAGTTATAACGTTTTTATTGCGTTTTTGCAGCTGAAACTACAAAGGTTTTATGGCCTACTTGAGAAATTATCTACTTAATGAATATGTTATGGAGAAAATTACAAATTGGACGACAGAAAATACAGTTTTTAATGTTTTAAACACGTTAAACAGATTGGGTTTTTAGATATTAACTACATAATGTATTTTAAACGATTTCGTTGCTTTTACTTTAAAACTTCGTTACGTTCGTTCATTATCGTTTTTTAAAACCTTTGTTATTAAAAAAAATAAATACACTAAATCAATTAATAGGTAGGTACTACGAATTCTTAATAAAATTGGTATTAATTTCCGCTGAAACAACTCAAATCGATGTATTATTTTTAATTGGAATTTTAATTCTAGTTCCGGAAGATATTTACTAACTAAATTATTAATTAATTAATATGAATAGGATCTATTTATTGTAGTACTAGTTAATCGATAGTCATTAAAATATCATTTAATTAAAACCTTCCCTCCGAAACACGGGATCATATTATTTCTTACATTTTCATACACTCAAGTTACATTCATAAAATAGAGGAACAAAATCATTAAAATGCTCGTAAAGAAGTGATGCAATAATCTGCTCTGCATTGAGCAGCGAACACATGTGCGAGACTTATTACTAAATTAATTAAAAAATAATTTTCTTGTATGCATTCGGTTCTGGAATTAGCTGTCTTTCCCACAATGCGGGCGCACTTGTGGCATTGTTTTTGCAGCTGTAAAATTAAGCTCTGGTTAAACAAATATTAACATTTGCATAAGAAGTTAAATAGACATCAACATTTTGCATAACAAAAGACCTAAATAGTTTCGTAACGAAATTCAGAAAGACAATATTTATACAACATTGCCTTTAACAAGTCTACTATGCTGCATTTCAATTTTAAGAACCTATTAATGACTGTTTACGTATAAATTAGGTACCACGTCGACTTGACGAAATGAGAAATTAATAATTAAATAATATGAATCATGCACGTGCTCGATATTGTTCTTCATTTTTAATTAGTTTAGTTATTATTACATTGTAATAAATAGTTAATTAATGATTGACAAATTCTTACTTATTATTTCATAAATTACTTCCTTTATAGATAAGAGCACAATAATTGAAAGCCCCAAAAATATTGCAAATATTTGAATACTAGCGGCCGCCCACGACTTCGTACGCGTGGATCTCGTTTTACCCCCCATTCATCTATCTTACGCGGTTCAGATTTTTTCATACAAATGTTTTTTCCCGCTAACTCCCGTTCACGTGGGAATTTTGCAATAACCTGTTGTAACTAAGCTTCAAGTTTACTAAGGCACCTGCATGCCAAATTTCAAGCGTCTAACTTCAGCGGTTTAGATTTTTCATACAAAAGGATTTTCCCGCCAATTCCCATTCCCGTGGGAATTCCTAAGTAGCCTATAACCTGCCCAGGAGTATGAAAAATAATTGTACCAAGTTTCGTTAAAATCCGTCCAGTAGTTTTTGTTTCTACATATAAGGAACATACAGACAGACAGACAGACAAAAATTTTACTGATTGCATTTTTGGCATCAGTATCGATCACTAATCACCCCCTGATAGTTATTTTGAAAATATATTTCATGTACAGAATTGACCTCTCTACAGATTTATTATAAGTATAGATATTTAATTTATTTAAGTATTATGTTCC